TCTTACAATATATTTTAATGACTATTATAATGGTATTTTAATCCTTCTTAAACTATATTCTGTCGACTGTTATAACTGTTGCGTCATCGAGATCACGTGACAATTCTCACGCTCTCTTGTTTCTAGAACTATCTTGTTCTTTCGGGAATGCTCTAGTAATTGCTCGATGTAGGGTGGGCTGGTATATATAAAGGAGGGGAATGTAATGTGTAGATAGATAGTGAGTAATTGATCTGCGGTCAGAGTATTATTGACGTTCGTTGCTATAGCGTTTGTTTAGCGCGATTGTTGAAGTTCAGTGTATCGGTTAAGTTATATTCGGAAAGAATAAACCAGTTTTATTAAGTAAAGACTTGTGTCGTTAAAGTTTCGTTGAAACGAAGTTACGGAATAAGTTAATTAAAAAACGGAAACGTAACAATATTTATAATAAGTAAAGTTACTTGATTAAATATGTTTGAATGAAAAATTTTATTCATGTTGTATTAGAGAAACGATACGTGTTATTTTTAGTACAAGCAACTTTATTGGTTGATGACATATAGTGACGGTACACTCTCTTTCAATTTTGAAAGTAAAAACAGTTTGAATAGATGTAAACACACTATTTAGTTAACAATCAACAGTCGTGCTAGAAATATAATATATTGGAAACACTTTACTAAAACAAGCAATAACGTGGAATAAATCATGTTTATAATGTTGCAAAATACACATGTATAGGCACATTGAATTTGTTTGCTAACTTTTCAGTTACCTATAATAGGTTGAATTCTAGCTGTTTCAGCCAATCATAGTAGATTGAATTTACTATGAACCAAATGTATTACAAATTTGACAAATGCCTTTGAAACTGTATTCAAAAACCAGCTGGAATAATATTGCTTGAGCAGGTATTCACGTGACATCATCAGACCAGTTTTAATCTTTAATTGACTAAATACCAAAGTATGTTTATGTGATATGAGGAAAGACTGGTGATAACTGAAGCTCTCCCACCCTCATAGCAACGATTTCTTATTTGGCTTTGGATGCTAACTGCTCTACCTACATATTTTAGTTTTTACAAAGCAAATCAAGGGGCATATGACTAATTACAGTGTACTACCGATACTTTGCTGTCCTCTACAGTCAGAAATCACCATTAGAGATATATTCATCGTAACCTTAAAGTTAATAATAACTTTGGAATTGAAAGTTTAATAATACCGATTAGTAGTGATGCTTAGAGCCAACGATTGGTAACTAAAGCCAAGTTTTAATAATTAATATTTCACATAAACATATTGAAATCTAGTGAAGACATAAAGTATTAGTGTGTTATATTCAGATAAAACTGAATTAATCTTCTAGTTATCAGATAGGTCTGCTTGATAACTAGAGATTCAGTCAAGATATCGATCATGAAGTAAATCATGCTAAATTATTAATTAAGTCGTGATTTTAAATGGAATAATAAGACTGAACACAAAGTGAAATATAAAATCAGAAATACATTGTATGTGCTTCTTTTTCCTTACACGGTACTGTCAGTTTTACTGGATTCTCTCAGCTGCTTCTCTTCCAAGATTGTGTTCTAGTCTAACTAAATTTAAAGTTCCTTAGTTTGCAACAAATGTTGCATTTACACTTAGTGATTAGCGCTACTTACGTGTTGGTTATTCTCATTCCAACATAAGTAAGGCCGTAACCTCTAGATATCACCTAAACTACTTTTGAAAGACTCTGTTGTTGACATTTTTGCACACATATAATACTAAAGCAATATTTCTCTTTCGTGCAAAACAGGTATCATCTATTTGAAATAACAAAGAAACGAAGGCAGCTAGAATGAACTCAATGGTTTCCGTGACCGTATATCATGTGAAACATGAACATGTAAAGAATAAATGATAAATTCAAAATAAATATTAAAGTATTAGAAAAAATAGAAATGCGTGGTATATTCATGGACCACGTTAGGAAAATAATTTATCAGAATCATCCGAAAACTAACATATTTTGGCATAAATACATAAAACGAGCTGAACACAAAAGAAAAATAGATAATTTATTTTTATATTTTGCTACTGCGATTAATTTTTACTGTCGCACACTTTACTTTTCACTAGAAGAATAAGCGAATATTGACTTAGAAATTAAGACATTACATGTATATGGATTTTTAAAGAAAAAATGTTTAGAGTAATTATGTAGTCAAACAACATACAAATAGTACAATTCATAGTTTCAGCCATTTTTGTAATTTTGTTAGAAAACGATAACTGCAATGAATGGTGCAGAAGTTATAGTTTGATGTAAAAAGTCTACGCGGGGTTTAAAATCTTGTGTTTTTGTTATTTTGAAATGAAATATCATCCTTTTTCTTCCGACAATGTGGCAATAAACCACGATGGTGGCTGTTTTCGCATTAACATTTTTGAGGAAAAAGTAAAACAGTTTAATGGTATGAATGTATTTATTATTATTATTATTTGGGCGAAATTATCGATCTGGTCTAAAACTAATTTCTTCTACCTGATGCTTTAGTTTCTATAAAGGGTAAGATGTTTGGCGATAAAGGGGGGAAAAAACTGACGTGAAAAATACTTTGGCCTTATCAAGATTATTAAAAGTGCTATTTCCATTTACTTCAATATTTTAAGATAAAATAGCTAAGACGGCCTCTTGCGTTCATTGCTTGTATGAGAGTGAAACATGTGAATGTAGGCTAGAAAGTTGTTAGGTAGTAAGTTTAAATATTTTTTGTATCTTTTAAGTAAGTATATTCTTGAACAAACATACCATATACTATTCTTTATTAAAATTTTAATAATAAAATATATAAGTATGTTATTCTTTTGTGTACTTTATATTAATTTTACGTTTTTTAAATTCAGTGGAGAACTATACGAGACTGTCGAGAGGTAAAACAGAGGAAGAAGATGACAGATCAACCTTGCCATTTTCAGATCTTCCAGAAAACATCATTCACATTAGAGTAAAAGCTGGAAGTAAACTTAGAAACTTGCTGGGCTTTGCCATGAAAACGTTCAAGGTAATGCAAATAGTACTAGAAATTTTAAGTTATTCTACTGATTGAAACTAGTAATTCTTAATCTTAGGTATACTGTAGCAGAAGAGATATTATTATTAATTTTATTTCCGGGAATTAACAAAGAGTCATTTTGTACTACCAACTTATTACAATCTACATATTATAACTGAAACTTGGGTGATATGACTGTATGGTAATGAGTGTGTAATAAATATATAATGTTATTTGACAACCCTGTAGTGAAAGTTTTGTAATTCTCACACGTGTAATTGGGGATAGTGTTCAGCACTACATTAAAAACCATTTCTTAAGTCATAAGAAAGATACACTCTGAAATGTATAAAGTAAAAATTTAAGAGTGTACTCATTAAGCTTCCTTGATACAAGCTTCTTCATGATAAGCACAAAACACTTCAACAGAGTGTAGGGCCAGTTACGATTTGCACATTTGTTTAGCTAGTCTATTACTTAGATTGTATCAGAATGTTACGTGTATGATAATCTGATGAAATATTTGAATAATTATTATATTTACGCTCATAAATGGAGTGTTTGTTTCACCATCTTTTACTGTACGGAGATATTTCAGTCAGTTTTAAATTATTTTCTTTACTACAGTTATACCTTTTTCATATTGAATTCCATTTAGAAATCTCAAAGGTAATTAATATTTTACTTTTAGAAGTAAGTTGCCAACACTGTTAAAGGGAACGCTGTACACCTTTAAGTAGAATTGACAAAATTGTTGAATGGGAAATTTCAAGTGCTCCGTGGAACTTGAACTTAAAGACAGGGACATGCACTCTGACAGTTAGGGTTAACTTTGCTGTTAGAACATTAATATAGATAAACTACTTTGTCTTATCACTGTGTGTGTCCACAGTTTCTCCACTTCTGTTGCACACTGCAAATATGTTTGGCAGTCAAATGAAAATTCAAACAAATGTAGCCTATAAAGATCATGCAAATAAGAATAAGAACTTAGGTCATGTTTATGCAATAATTTTAAGTATATAGGTTCTTCTGTGTGCTGGTGCATGTATATATTTGTTGTACTTTATAATTTCTGTATTTAAGTTATTTATCAAACTTTAGAGAAAAGCCAGTATTTTTTTTTTTATGCTTAGTCATTTACATTGTCATTTAGGTTGTTTTAGTCATACAGATAGAAACAAGAATGTTGTGAGGAATTACATTTATATTAATCCTCATTATGCACACAATCCTTAAAGAATTGGTTCTCACCATTCACAATACATTTCACCTTCATGTAATTATTTTAATGTGTAGATTATCCATTAAAATATTTACTGACATTTGTATTTATGTTATCTGAGTTTACTCTTGTTGATTAATTGGTGGTAAGAGTTCCATATGGCACCCCCACTCAATTTAAAAAAAAATTCATCAAAGTAATATTTATGTATTAATAAATCATATTAATTAGATGTACAATCTTCTTATCTTTTTTATCCAGGCAATTCTACAATTTTTGGGTGGGGGTGCCATATGGAACTTATTCCTAATTGGTTATAGTTATAATATGTTTAAGTTTCTCGTCTTTATGAAAGTACACAGTGAAAGATATGTGTTTGACATGCATTTTATACCAGTTGAACATTTAAGTTGTTAACCTATGATGATACTGTAAATACTTGTTGATGTCATTGACTGTAGACATCATTGGTGGAAGGTTGTTTTGTATCATATTGGTGGTCATTAAATCTTTTGTCAACTTTTAAGAAAAGTTCTGAAGTTCTGTTACCTGAATGTTAATAGCTAGTTTAACAGTTGCTTTGAGGCTAAGTTGGCTCATTACTAAGCCAACACATTCTTGTTGTTTATTATAATTGATATTAATCAAATACTGAACTGGAAGCAAGAGTTTTTACAATATGAGGCTTTTACAAAGTTTACAGTTTTAATATTTTATTTAGAAGCCTTTGATATCTCTTATTTGGCTAGCACATTCTTGAAGAGAATTGTATTTGTAATTTTCCTGTAATAGTATCATTGCACCGATTCGATAAATCTCTAGTAGACTATTTATATAAATCCTTAAAGATTTTATAAGCCTAAATCAAGTCTACTTTAAAATTACAGATAAAAACAAGTCCAAGTATTTAAACCTATCTTCACAGCTCAAATATCTTAAAATAAGTATAATTCTAATCTGTTCTTTAGTGCACTATTTTTTTATCCTTCATGTAGCAAAGAGACCAGAATTGTATACTTGTAGTACGCTGAAGTCCTTTTAAAATTGTACAGAACCAGAATTGTATACTTCTAATATGCTGAAATCCTTTTAAAATTGTACAGAAGGTAGTATTAATTCTTACACTGAATTTGAATTTCTGTAAATTTTTATTAGAAGTCTTTTATTGTACCTATCTTCACTACAGTCAAATGCTCCTCGTAACGTTTCAAGCAGTCATCAATAATCACAACTGAATCCTTTCCTGTCTCCAAAATGCCAATATATTGTTCACACAAGAAATAAATCTTCTTGAAATTCTGATTTATAATAAATCTTTATGAAATTCCAAAGTGTAACACTTACACTTCCCAATACTGAAATGATTTTCTAACTTTCTAATTCTTTCTCTAAGATTGTTCAAGTCCTTCTGAATCAAAAAGAATATTCTCCACAAATTTAGTTGTGTTCTAAATTTGTTATTCCTAACAACTTTGGAAATAAACTGATTTGTTTACACATATAGCGACATTAGGCATTTAACTAACCATGGACATTCTACCAAGAAGCTAATTTTTTAATCCAATTTTTTATTTTTACCCAATAATTACTTGAAAACCTAACTTGTGATTTTGAGTTTCTTTATAAAAAGTTTTCTGAAGACCATAGATAATAATTTCTACCAGAAGGCATCTGTTTAAAAAAAAACAACTTAAGAGGTGAGATGGGAAAATTAATTTATAAAACCACACTGATTTTACATGAATATAATGTAAATAATATGCTGCTTTGTGTATATTTTGTTAAGGAAGAAAATAAACGTCACATGGTCATTGCTGGTGTGGGAAAGGCCATCAACAAAAGCATCACATGTGCTGAAATCATGAAGAGAAAGTATAAGGTAGAAGACAGCAGCTATTAATTACTCACTTTATTTTTTTAGAATTATAAGGATACTTTTAGTTGGTTAATAATGGTTATAATGTAATTTATTATTCAATATCTGTTAATAGAACTTCAGTTAAAAGGCTGATGATTTTTTGCTGTTTAAGTGTTTAAAGTAAAGAATGTGAACACAGTAGTTATTAATCACTCACTTTATTTTTTTAGAATTATAAGGATACTTTTAGTTGGTTAATAATGGTTATAATGTAATTTATTATTCAATATCTGTTAATAGAACTTCAGTTAAAAGGCTGATGATTTTTTGCTGTTTAAGTG